TTTTTTTACCAAAATAATCAGCGAAAAAAGCTCCACAAAATTAGATATAAGAGAAAATTTTTAGAACATCCTTATTATTCGTTTATGTGTAAAAATAAAAAAGTGCATGCTTTTTTGGGCCTTCACTGTATTGCATGTAAAAATAAAAATAAACAGAAATACAGTTATCAATCTTTCCGTATTTGATTACCACCTTGATCGATCACTAATTTTAATCGTGCTGGCATTTTATCAATCATTCTTTGACATAAAGAAATACTAAATTTGTTCTGCTCCTTTTTAATGTCAGTTTTCAATTGTTCAATTTGAGTGTATTCTCGTCCTCGTAATTTCTCTTTCAATGAACCCCAAACGCTTTTTATGAGCCAAACATCGGCTGGTTTTGCAGCACAATCTATTGGTTCAATTCGATTGATAAAAATACGTTTAGCATCATCCAATGCAACCTGCATCCTCTGTTTACGATCTTGATCGTCTTGAAAAAGGAAATTTTGTAAATCACCTAATTCTTCGGCTCCTTTTTCTGCTATAGTATCTGGAATAAATTGTGCGTATCGGTCACCAATAAAATACATTTTCTTATGGCGATCATCACCCTCTAGTCTGATCAGCTTTAACCATTCATCGATAAAAATTGGAGATTTCTTCGGAAATAATCCTTGGTAAGAAATACCACCCCACAATATAACACTTTTCTGAAACTTCTCTTTTGATTTTGTTTTTAACTCATATGGAATACCATTTATTGATTTAACATAGACATCTTCATTGTGTTGATTGTATTGAGGAATTAATGTTAATGTATCACTAAAATCAGTATTCAAAACATGAATCCATTCATAAAGTTTGTTTTCTTTCTTAACCGTTTTGAAATAATAACACGGGTGTTGGTGTGAGTTTGGAAGAAGAGATGACCCACACCCATACTGCCTTGCATAACACCGGTTTCAATATCAACAACTTCACGCAATTCACCGTTGATTCGTACTTGTGGTCTGGTGTTTTTGTACACTAATTTTAATATTTGTACAGTTTTCTCTGTCAAGCCGTATTGTCGACAAATTTTCCATAGAAGATCTCTGTCTATTGAGTCATAAGCCTTCTGCATATTGATGAAACAAATGTGTAACGGCTTGTTGAGCTCTCGTGTCTTTTCCATAACCATTTTAAGAATAAAGACTTGCTCAATTGTTGATCTATTTGCTCGAAAATTAGCTTGTTCTTCTAAGGGTTGCTTGTCAATGAAAAGCTGAATCCTATTAAGAATCACCCGTGTAAAAATTTTACTAGCCATCGCCAGCAGAGAAATACCTCGATAATTATCACAAATTTTCTTATTGTCTTTATTTTTGTAGAGACGTATTATAATTGTCGAAGTCCAGTCGTCAACCATTTGTTCATTCTTTCAAATATCGACAGATAATTCATGCAACCACCTAATCACCGGCACTTCACCTACTTTCAGTAATTCAACTATTACATTGTCTTTTCCTGGTGCCTTTCTATTTTTCATGTGTTGCAAAGCATGCTGTATCTCATTTAGCGTTGGATCTTTGTCTTAACGGTGGCGTTCCGTTGTTGATAAAGATGCAGATTTGATAGGATCTAATAGTATCGGGTCAATAATAGAGTTCACATTTAGTAATTTCGAATAGAATTCTCTCCACCTTTCAGGTATGTCATTAAAGTTGACAAGTAATGTCCCATTTTTGTTGAACATTGGCATATTTTCCACATTTTGTCTTCCACCTCTGAGCCGCCTAATCATCGTATGTGCCATTGCTGGATCATGTTATTTGATAGAACTTTCAATATCCATACTCAGCTCATCCCAATATTCAGTTTGTTTTTTATCAATTAGTGTTTTTACTAGCTTTCTCTCTGTGATGTACATCTTTCGATATTTCTGTTCCATTATACATCCACGAAGTTGTTGCCACTTGAGATATATTGTTGATTTCTTTTCCACTGCATCTAAAATCTCTTTCGTCAACCATTCGTTTTGCTTCTGATGATTGCTTTTTTCTAATTCCAAATGTTTATTGGCAGTTTCTTTGATAGACTGCGCCAATGTTTTATATGGCTCGTCAACACTGACATCATCATCTTTTGTTTCTTCGAAATTCTTCAATATGTCCTTCTGATCCCAGGTCGATGATTCCGGCCTCCGGATCCTGCAGGAACCGGCTGGAAACGGTGTAATTTCCGACCGTTTCCGGTGTATTTCCGGCCGGAAAAATACCCGGATCATGGAAACAATATTCCGGCCGAAAGTTTCTCGTACCCGGAAACGGAATGTTTCGATAATTTCCCGCCACCGGAAATCCACGGGAAAAACCTCGGAACCTCCAGAAACCCGCCGGAAACCGACAAGCAACCGGCCGTTTCCCGCCGGAAAATATGACAACCGGTTGGCAATCTCTTTGAAAGATCTTTGAAAGATCTTTTTTTCGAAAATTTTTTTTTTACAGAAACATACTTTTTGAGAAAAAATAATTTTTTTCGAAAACACCCAAAATTTTTGTTGAAAAAAATCTTTTAATAACTTACTTAGGTACTTCGTCGTTTTGGAAGAGTGCCTCCCAGGTCGAAAAGTACGGGCCGGTTCCGGCAGGAAAACACCGAAAGTCGCCGGAACTGGGTGGCAGTATTCCGGCCGGAAATTCTCCGTATTTTTTCCGGTGACTTTCCGTCAACTTCCTGCAGGAAACGGGAGGAAGTTGACCGGAAGTCACCGGAAAAAATANCGGAATACTGGCACCCAGTTCCGGCGACTTCCGGTGTTTTCCTGCAGGATACGGTGAATTTTCCCGCATTTTCCTGCCGGTTCCTGCAGGATCTGTTGTCCGGAATCATTGACCTGGGCTGCTGTGGGGCACGACATCAACTCTGTCCTTACACATTTCGTGTAGGGATTGTGAAGTCTTTCAAAGATCTCTGAACTCATAGAAAGATCTTTGAAAGAATTATGATAGATTTTGCACACTCTCCTAAAGATATTTGAAAGATCTTTTAAAGTCTTCGAATTGTCTTTGGCAGATCTTTCAATGTCTAAGAAAGTCTCAGAAAGACGTTTGAAGGTCGTTGAAAGATCTCTCACAGTCTCAGAAAGTCTCCCAGAGGTGTTTGACTGGTCTCGGAAAGGCTCAGGAAGTCTTCCAAAGATGTTTGAAAGATCTTTCAATGTCTTCAAAGGGATTTTGAAAGATGTCTAAAAGTCTTTGGAAGATCTTTCAAAGTCTTTGAATGATCTTTGAAATATCTTTCAAAGTCTTTGAAAGGCCGGATATGGGCTTTGTCAACGAAACGGAAAGAGGTGGGATATAACCGAATCCTGTGATCCGGACGAAACCCCGGAACCGTAGTGAGGAACCGTACCGGAAACGGCAGGTATACGACTCGGATCCGGTTACAGTGATTTAGAAGAGGAAACTTAGTCGGGAACCGCACCGGAAACGACGGCCGTATCCGAAGATCGTACCCGAAGGCAGGAATGAGCGGGAACTAAGCAGGATTCGGATGCCGGGTCCGATTTTGGAACACTGCTTCCAAGAATTGGCCGGAATTTTACGGGATCCGGCCGTTTCCGGCCGTACATCTTTGACCTGGGTAGTTCTCCACAACATGTTTATCATTTAACTTTGTACGATGCAATCTAACCTCATTGCGCCGTTGATTGATCTTTCTTAATGTCAAATGTAATTTAATTTTAGACCTCATTAGATGGTGATCTGTATCTATGCTTCCACTTGCTTTTCTGTAAAACCGTACATCTTCTACACTTGATCTAAATTTCCTGTTTACCAATGTATAATCTAACAAATGCCATTTTTTCGTTCAAGGGTGCATCCACGAAGTTTGATGCACTGACTTGTGTTGGAAGAATGAGTTCGATATGACCAAATTATTTGTAGTGCAGAAATTAACTAACCTCTAGTCATTTTCATTTTGCTCATCCACCGTAAATGGTCCAACAGTGCGAAATGTCGTAGAATGTTGAGGTTGACTAACACGTGCGTTGAAATCACCCATTAAGGGCCCCGCCCCCCCCCTTGAAAACCCAATTTTTTGAAAAAAAATTGGAATTGAGTATTTTACACAGGAAGATGCGCCAAAGATTCCTCTTTCCGAATATAGGTAGCTTTTTGCAAAACGATCAGATTTTCACGGACTTATCGATAAAAAACTTGACCCCCTACTATCATATTTTACAAAAATAAAACAATATAGTTTTATTTACTTTATATATTGAACGTTGTACATTCTCTCCGATCGTGAAAACAAATGATATATTCCTTCTGCTTCCATAGAACCTAAAAAGCATATAGTTAAAATAGAAACTGCTGAACGGAATAATACCTGATGAGCCTGAATGAGTAATTTCACAT